CGCACGGTGGGGGTGGGGGTGGCAGAGGTCCTGGGCAACACTTACTGAAGAACCTTTGTAAGCATGTGGTGGAACCAGGCTGCTCAAAGAATGAAACCTGCGGTGGGGGACTGTCGGGATTCCTTGGGTGCCATCCCCACTTCCTCCAAATAAAGGGGGTGTGGGCAGGGCAGAGCCCTGGAAGCAGAGCCCAGCCCCAAACCTGCCTCCTCCCAGTCCAGGGACCAAAGTCCAACAAGTAAAGGAAACAGAGGTGCATGGGCCAAAAATTAAATTCATTAAACCCTAAACCTGCACCCCTCGCCCTCAGGACATACTGAAGCCCGTTGACCCTGCTGGATCGCATGCTCTGCAGCAGAACCCTGTCCCCACCTCACCAGCAGCCTCCACCCGAGCCCCCAGGGCGCACCTGGGACCTGCGGTTGACCTTCACGAATACGGCCCCTGAGTCTGTGTCGTAGGCGCGGCCCTCGCTGATATAGCCCGCGCCTGGGCTCCCGAAGGCCCGTAGGCTCCGGGTCCGCAGCTCCGCGCGCAGCAGCTGCTCCATGGAGATGACTGCGTGGGGCTCGGGGCGGGTACCGGGAGGGAGCAGTGACAGGGGCCGGGAGGCCCGGGGGAGGGCGCGGGGCCCCAGGAGCGCCTGGCCACTAGGGACTGTCCAGCAGCAGCTCCCTCAGGCGGCTGTAGGCGGGTTCTAAGTCTCTTGACCGGGAGGGGATGCGACGAAGGAAGCCCCGTGATGTGTCCGTGCTCCCCTCCTCCGAGCCCTGGAGCGCTGGGCTATCGGCCCGGTCCCGCCCCCGCGCCTGCTGTGGGACGAGCAGCGTCTGTGCTGGGGCGAGAGCTCCACCGCCGCCAGATAACTCTGGCAGGAGGGGCCCCAGTTCCTGCACCTGCTCCGATAGCCTTGACCTCCCAGACCGCGGAGAACCAGGGCATCTGTCTCGGGCCCTTCGAGTGTCCCAGACACAGGTCACATGCCAGGTCAGACTTTCCCCTTGTGAAAACCAGACTGGGCGGGGCTGACCATTTGATAGTGTCCAAAGGTCATTGTGGTCACCCTTCTCAGCCTGGCCCAGTGGGGACCAGGGCAGGGGGTTCTGATAAGGAGAGGCCACTAGCCAGGACCACCAGTCTCCTGATAGAGAAGAGGCCCAGGAAGAGGGCTCCAACTCTCAGAGCATGCACATTTACACAGACAAGTGCAGACACACTCAGTACACACTGGCACGTGTGTGTGTCCTATATATGCATGAACTGTGTGCAAACACATACACAGGTGTACACGCACATACACATGCTCACATAGCTCATGCACATACATATGCCCCAAAGTGCCCACTCAGTACACAGACACGTGTGTCCTATGCATTCATGAACACATATACAGACACATGTGTGCTCATATACACATACGTAACCTTGCACACGGGCACACACATGTGCATGCACACACAGTCACATACACACATTCACAGGTTTGAAGCCTGTCCTAAAGGGATTTACAGTTAGTTTCCAACCTGATTCTTCAGGGTCCCACAGGACCAGGTCCCAGATGTCCACTCTCCCCTCTACCCCACCCCCCCTACAGGAAAGTCTTCCCCAATAGGATGCACTGAGCAGGTGGTGAGTTTCCTCTATAAAAACAAACTGTCGAGCTAAGAAGCAACAAAGCCCACATGGAAGAAGCACACCAGCCTGTGTGATTACGAGGTGTCGAAGGGATCAGGTATTAGGCATCAAAGAACAAGAAAAACATACCATTGTGTGCTCTCCTCCCCAATACAATCACTGAAGACAAATGGGTGCATAAGCAAATGTGGTGAAGAGAGCTGATGGTGCCTGGCTATCAAAAGATATAGCGTCTGGGGCTTAAAGGCTTGAAAGTAAACAAGTGACCATGTAGCTCAGAAGCAATAAAGCCCACATGGAAGAAGCTCACCAGTCTGTGTGATCGCGAGGTGTCCAAGGGATGAGGTATCAGGCATCAAAGAACAAAAAATCATATCAGGAGTACGGAGTGGGACCCAAAGCCCATCTGTAGGCAACTGGCAGAGAAGAGACAAGCCAGTCAGGGTGCAGTGCAGCAACAATGAAACATATAACTTTCCTCTAGTTCCTAAATGCTTCCTCCTCCCCTCCCCCCACTATCATGATCCCAATTCTAC